AGTGAGAAGAATGGCGAGGGGATTACTCCCAGCTAATGGAAATGGCCATGGCACCTGGTAGTCACGTGTACCCTGATTCATAGGCAGTCTTCCTCCCCTGGGCAGGGATGAGGAAAAGGGCAGGGGTACAGGAATGGATGAAAAGCTGAGCCCATAACAAGCATTTCCTAGGAGACAGAATAAAAGTCACTAGCTAAGGGATAGCCTGCTCTTTCCCCCAAGCAGAAGCTGAGTCCTTGGCTGGCTATAAATGAGGACTCCCTAAGGAGTTTTGAGTGAGGCCCCAGGATGTAAACTCCTGGAAAACATGGATTTCATCCAGTCCTATGCTAGAGCAAGCTCATGCCAACTTCACGATTATTAAATTTTCCAGTGAGAGCATGTACACCTCGGAATTTGGCAAAGGCTACAAATCAGGGTTTGAGTTATTGTTCTGCTGATTGTCTAGACTTGAAAAAGTAATGGAGAAAATGTTATTAATGAAGATCAAACTGAAATGTGTGGCATGCATATATTTCCCCCCAGAGAAGCATTTACCATCACAACCCTGGTTTCATCCATCTGTCTCTTTCAGAGCACCAGATACAGGGCCATGCCACCAGTAGGTACACAATTACTATGACATATTTGACAAGACTGGTATGAGGAACGCAGTTTGTAAACCTTAAAACACTGGGAAAATGTGAATTATTATTATTATTATTATTATTATCTCATTTTCATCTTTCTTCAGATAGAAACAGTCTTAAGACAGGTCACTACCCTGCTATTATTTCTGTATGTTGAATGTTCTGATGATTTTTGCAGAGATGGGTAATATGACTGCTTTTCATAATGTAAGTATTGAGATATAAACTCATCTTCTGTAGGATCAAAAAGCATCTGCAGTACAACTCTAGTAGCAGACCAGATTACAGGAATAATATGGATTTGAACCTAGTCTCATATGGTTTTCATTTCTTCCAATAGGCTTGTACATTTTGAAAGCCTTTCTGTACAGCTTGGAGATAAGGAGTACTTGGTATGGTGACATTAATTAAACACATTGTTCTTAAATGTTTATGATTCAATGTTAAATCTAGGTGTCTGTGGGTGACAGTCTTGTCTGGGATAATGCTATGGTTCCTGTATAATTTATTTATTGAATTATTAAGGTCTTTTTGAGGTCTGTATTATAGTATAGAGATTTGTTGTCTATTAGGTTATGGATGATAGTGAGGATTCTGATGTGTTCTGGCTACCAGGTTGTGTCTTACTAGGCATTCGATAGGTGCTATATTTTTACAACCTGCGACATTATGTTGCTCAGTTTCTTCCTTTTCCTTGCATGATTTGAATTAATCAATAAATCTGGGCTCCTTCAAATCAATAAGCATTTATTAAGCACCTACTATAAGGATATATATACTATATTATAAGGATAACCCTTCTGTAATTACTGGTATCAATGACGTAGTCTTGAATTATTATCATAAACTCCTTCATGTCTAATTATTATTATTATTATCATCATTATTATCAATGAAAGCCAGTATGGCATAGTGAATAGAGAGCTACCCTGTAAACCCAGAAGACCTTGCTCCAAATCCTGCCCTAGACATTTTAAATGTGTGAGCCTGGGCAAGTGACTGTACCTCTCAGTACTCTAGGCAGCTCTCTAAGACTGTAGGTCCCAGAAAAGATCACTATGTTCTTGCTTTGGTAGAAGGAATTTCTTTGCCTGGGAGTTCCCTATACCAGGGGAATCTCATATCTACTCTCTATCCCTATTATTGTAATACACCAGTTTTAAGGTGCTTTCAGTGGTTCCCCCCAGGAGGCTCTGGGCCCCCCCTACACTAGTAAAGAATATTTGCAGGCACTTTATGGAATATGGGATTCCCAACTCAGCTGTGATGCAGCATCTAGATAAACCCTGGGCACACTGTGAGGCCCATGAAGAAAATATAAGATTATTCTGTGTCTCTCCTCACCCTCCAAGACCAGTGCAAAAGGTGGACTGTCAGGGAGGCAAACCAGAGACTCAAGATAACATAGTCAATTGGAGCCATCAGAAGAACTGTACAAACAGAGGGAGGAAGCTGAGAAGTGCTCAAAGAAATCCTGGCTTAGGATGAGAATTTGGGAGCTCTTATGGGATGTGTTCTGAGAAACAGCAGCTCAAGACAACTAACTAGTCTTATTAAATCCCTCTTCCTGCCATCTGCCCAATGCTTCCCCTGCTGAGTCTTCATAGAACAGAGGGCAGGGCTGGAGGTGGAGATCCATCACTGTGTGTGTGTGTGTGTGTGTGTGTGTGTGTGTGTGTGTGTGTATGCACAAGTACAGTTTGAGAGGCTGAGATTGAGGTGTAGGGATGAGTTAAGCTCCTCCTGGGCTCAGACATCATCAGTTGTGCTGTTAGTATTTACACTTAGTACTATATTTAGGAATGTGTCTCCTTCCTTTTCCTACATTCTAGATGAAATTAGGATATAGAGTAAGTTCTTAAGGATCCTGGACTATGGAAAAGATTGGCTCACACATCCCTGCCAAAGTTCCATGAATTCCCTTTGCTTCCCTCTTCCAGTCCATACACATACACACATTCTTCCATTCTTTCACCTCCTAGAAAACATAGAACTTGAATTGTTCATTTGGCACCAGTTATATATTGTCTTACATGATTAAGTCTTGTTTCAGAGCTTCCTAATATTTAGCCTGTGCATCAATGGAATAGGGTTGCCTTGATAAGTACTGAGCTTCCCATCACTGTCAGTATTCAAATAGAGATCAGCACTGAGAGAGTAAATGTCCTCTGTGGTCCCTTCCAGCTACAGTACTCTGAGTATGACAGTCTTGGTTTCCCAGCAGAGCGTCTTGAGAAATATATGTGGGAGGGGAGGGAGAAGGGAGACAGAGGGAGAGGGACAGAGAGGAGAGAGAGAGAGAGAAAAAGAAAGAGAGAGAGATCCCCAAAAAACCCAGAATAGGGCCAGGAATATATTAGATGTTAGTAAGTACCTCTTGATTCTATTGAAATATCTAGTGAGGGACAGAGATTGAAAATCTATTTTACATGGGGAGCAACTGAGGAACAGAGCTGCTGACTGCCTGCCTAAGGTCACACTCAAAGATGGTGCTAAGATTAGAACCAGGAATTATTCTTAACCTCTCTCTATCTACCTGCCCCCTCTAGACGGCTCTACCTCTCCCCCCACCCCCACCCCGCAGCCTGACCTCTGAATCTTCAAGGTCAAATACCTTCCTCATTTATATGCTTGATTCATTCCCTCCATTAAGACCAAACCCCAAATTCCTAATAGTACCTCTAACCCCAGGACTTGCTATTTCTCAAAACGCTTTCTCAGACCCAATCCCACTTAATCCTCACAACAGTTTATGAATTAGACACCCCTCCCCAACAGATATTGTTATCCCCACTTTATAGAGGAAGCAACTGAGGTTCAGAAGGAGAAATGATTTGAAAGTCACTCAGCAAGTTAGTAGCCGAGCTGGAGCCCTAACCCAAAGGTACTGCTCAGGACTCTTCGCAGTAAATCCCAGCTGCTTCTCCCATTGCCTTTTAATTGCCTCCCCGTCTCTAGTAACCACTCAGTGTGGGGGGAAATAAAGGTAGGTCCAGGTGCTGAGCCCCTATAAGGGGAGGCTTCGATCTCACTCAGTCACTCTGCAAACTGAACACGCAGCCTCATCGTCCACAACTCTTTTCCTTTTCTTTTCTACCGCAACAGTGTTTTCAGCTCTCTTTCGAAGCACTTGGCTACATCTCCCTTTCCTTCTTCTTTCATTGCTACAATTTTCTCTCTTCGCGCTCTAAAGTTTTTTGGTAAAAATTTCTCCCCTTTTCTATAAAAGTTCGCACTACAAAAATTCTTCGCAACAATATTGTCTCTTCTTGCTACTCTATTTTTTGCTACAGGTTCTGCTTCCAGGAGATTCTGGTGAGATAGCATCACCCCATCCCAAACCTGACCTCAAGACTTCTCCCCTCAAAAATCCTCCCCTTTGGGACATTCTCTGCAGCTATTAGTCCTTTTCCCAAAAAGCCTTGACATTCTCCTCCCAGCATCTCGGCTCTTAAAGGAGCACGAGGACCTCCCGTCTTCTGGCATCCAGCTTCTAGAGAGGAACCACTAGCTTTGCAAGAGAAACTTTGCGCACTAACTTAGGCGCTTAAGAGAAAAGTCATTTTGGCTCGATGAGGGGAGCTTGGTCCCTTGTGATTGGGGAGGAAAGGGTGTCCCGGAAGAGGAAGATCACTCTTCTGGGTCTGACTAGACGGGGTACTGGGGCATAAGAGACTGACTGCTGGGGTGGGGGGAGGGGGGCACGCGCGCGCTGTGTTCAGACTAGGGAGGTGGGAACTGGTGGAGTTTGATTCTATGCATCGGGAGCCGGGGCACCCACGACTGGGAAACTGTTTTCGGACCCGGAGGGCTCTGGCCAGGACAGTGAGGGACGTAGCCTAGAGACTTAGCATTTCATCTGCTGCAGCTGCTCCTTGCCTCCTCTCTTGGGGCCACGAGGGCAGATGGGGACATCGCCGGCCCGCGCTATGCCGAGGGCCCTGCATCCCAGCCATGGTCCCGGGGTGGGTGGTTGGGAAACTCCTGGTACCTGGAGGTGTTTGCTGAGGGGAGTGTGTGTGTGTGTGTGTGTGTGTGTGTGTGTGTGTGTGTGTGTGTGTGTGAGGCACGTGTCCCTGACCTCTCGGGTCCAGTCCCATCCCATTCAGTCTCGTCCCTTCAAGGGAGGTTGTCCCGGGCGCGGGCCAAGCCGGGCGGGGGCGCTGCGTGCCGAGGGAGCGAACCCCAGAGCAGCTGGCACTCCAGCAAGTCTGACGGCAGCCAACTTTGCTCAACTTGCTGGGAGCCGCGCTGCTCCCAGAGTGCCCAGTGCAGCCAGCTTGCCCTGTGCCCGGGTCCCTAGTCCGACCCGGACAGCCTTTCTCCTCCCCTCTCCCTCCGTCCCAGCCCAGGGTACCAGCCCCTGCTTACCAATGATGATGGCACAGGCGCTCACTAGCCCAATCTCCTTCTTCAGTGCCACCCTCTCTTCTACCCGGCCTGGAGCTCCGGCCAAACTGTCCGCGGGCGGGCTTGGGCTCGGACTGGGGCCCCCGTCCCCGCCCCCGCTCGGCTGCTGCATCTGTCCGGCCATGTCTCTGTCCCCGCGTCCCCTACTCAGTCTGCGCCGGGTCCGCGCCTCGCAGCCACCGGCAGCGCAGACCTGCAGGCGCATGCGCTGGCGCTCCGCCCGGGGTCCGGGCCTTATCCCTTGGAGAGGAGGGGCCCCAACGCGGACACTGACTGAGAGACCCTCCCTTAAAGCGAAATCTTCATCCCTGAGCCTCGCGGCTCCTTAAGATAGAGAGGACAAGAAGGAAAAACTTGGAGATCGAGCTGCCAAGGTCCTGGGGAAAGTTTGAAGGGCCCCTGGAGCCCCATTTTCATAGATCTGAATTTGTATGTTCTGATGCCCACAAGCAGTGAGTTAGATCTAATCAACTCCTCGAGAACTATGTGCCCGACCCTGAGGAAATAACACTTTTGATCCAGGGGATACAACTTATTAGGAGCATAAGCGAACCTTCAACCAGATGATCCTCCAATACAGTGCTCCATAATATTGTGTCTCAGCACAATACCCTGGGAATATTACTGACATCTTCATCCTCCCCCAGCTGAGAGGGGACTCTAGGTTGCCTCCTGAAGGGCAAAATGATGGAGGACTTTGAGCATCCCATATTTTATCATCTCATACTGCTCATGACCAGTGATCCAAAGGTTAGGGACAGTTCAGTCTGAGGATAGGTCTTAGTCTTTGACTAGGATTGAGAGTGGGGGCTAGTCTGTCAGACCAGGCTCAGCATTTAGTCTGGCACCAGGGTTCATCTCAGTCTAGGTTAAGGGTCATGGCCAAGGCCAAGGCTCAACTTGAAGTCAGTGTCTGGTCAGGGGATCTGTAATTGGTTCCAAAGAGGGTCAACTCTTAAGCATTTCTTTATTGAAGAAGTATTTAATTGAAACCCCTTTTGTCAGGATGGCTGCTTTGAGAAAGACAAGGGTGGTTAATACGTTGGATTTAGTCATCAAACATATATTACATGTACACTTCAACAGACATTAAGAGCTTACTATGGGCAAAATACTGGGTACCATGATAGATGCTGGGTTTAGTTTAGATAGTTTAGATAAAACAGGCTCCTGGACCCCTTGGAACTCGTTAGTAGGGGAATAAGATACAAAAATAGATACTGATAACAGAGGACGTGGAATACCTGCATTAGAGAGGTAGAAATCAAAGGTCTCTGTGAGCCTGAGGGAAATTACTGTTACCAACAGTAATTCAAGGAAGCCTAGATGAAAGTGGCATTTGGAAAGACATGTAAAGAAAATGCAGAAATGCAAAAGGTAAAGAAGGAAAGGAAGGCCTTCTGTGTTTGGGGTTGGGGGGAAGGAGTGAGCAAAGAGACAGAAGCAGAAGGTCATATGATGCATTTAGCAGACAGACAGACTAGTCTGGCCAAAGTGCAGAATGAGTTGAGAGATAGAGTTGGAAAAGTATGTTGGAACAGTAGAATGTAAGCTTATTGAGGACAGAAAATGCTTTACTTTTAAAGTGAGGAGGCGCTTGAATCCTCTCGAATGAGGAAGATCTGAGTTAAATTCATCCTCAGACATTTACTGTGTGATACTGGGCAACTCACTTAACTTCTGTTTGTCGCAATTTCCTTATCTGTAAAATGGAGATTATAATAGCACCTACCTCTCAGAGTTGTTATGAGGATCAAATGAGATAAGAATGATAACATGCTTAGTACAGTGCTTGGCACATAGTTAAGTGGTATATAAATATTAACCATTATTATCTATATCCCTCAAATATGGCAAATAGTAGGTGCTTATTAAATGTCTCTTGGTTGATTGATCAGAGGCCTTGTTTGCCATAAAAAAGAGGTTGAATAGTGGCATTTTAGGTAAAAATAGTGAAGTCAGAAGGGTAAGTTGGTTTGGGGAAAAGATAATAAACTTGGTTTGGAATATGACGACTTTAAGATGACTGGGGGACATCTAGATAGACATGACTTAAAAGTAGCTAAAGGTGATAAACTAGATCTCAGAAGGAGGTCACAGTTTTCAATACATATCTGTGCCTGGGTGGGGCATGGGGAGGAGGAGAATGAGATTGCCAAGGTAGATAGCACTGACTGAAAAGAGAAGAGGGCTCAAGACAGACCTTGGAGAACACTCATAATAGAGGTCAGGAAGAGGATGAAAGGCAATGGTGACAGAGAGTGGTTAGAGAGGAAGAAGAAGTAAGAGAGTTTAGTTTCTCTGAAGCCAAGGAAAGAGAATATCTAGGAGGAGGGAATGGTCAACTATGCCAAAAACTGCATAGACATAAAGGATGGCAAAATTGGGATCCAAGAAGATCTCAGTAGGTTAGAATAATGGAGTGAATATAATTAGATCAATTTATACTTGGAATCTTGGATGGATCTTTTGCTGTGGTCCTCTTTCAATGCCTCTTTGGGTATGGAGTGACCTTAGTTTCTTGAAGGCTATGTCAGACAAGCACAAACACAAGAAGGCCCTACTAAGCTGAAAAGGAATATGACACAGTCAGTGGAATGCATGTGTCTTCTCTAAGGAACATCTTGTTCATTTATGAGAGGCTTAGTAGATTATCCATTTGGCACTGAATTTTGGCTGTAACAATTAATGAAGATCATCTACCAAGGGATAGAAGGATTGTGATCAGTGCTTACCTAGAGAGTGACCATAGAGACAAAATCAAAAATGGGTTTGTGTTTTTGCTGACACGAGCACTTCTTTCTCTGGAACATGTTACATCCACAGTTTTTCATCTTGTGCCATATTGGTCTATTTTTTTAATTCAGATTTTCCATTGAAGATCCAGCCATTGCACTGGAGACTTTCCTTTGCTAATTTCAATATCTTCAGGATTCCAGTGGAGCACTTGGGCTAGTCATCTGTTAGATCTCACTCTTGCTGCATGTTTAGCTCACCTCCTTGTCTGGTTATACATGTTCTTGGGGTCTCTTATGTCACATTTTGCATGCAAGTCATCATTATTAGGGCAGCTAGGAGGTGCAGTGGATAGAATGCTATTATTAACATGCTACTCCTGCTCATATCCTTCATGTCTCTCTTCATTGCTCTTTGGGTAACCTGCAATTGTGATTCTTTTGAGGTAATGGTGTTTCAGATAGCATAAAATTAATAGGCTTAAATATAAAGTACAACCTGGATTCAAAAAAATTGACTGCATCTATGTCTATAAAAATTAAAAAAAAAATTGACCGCATCCTGTATCTATAGAATGGGAAAGTATAACTAGGTAACAATTTGAGTAAAAAGGACCTGGGAGTTTTAATGGACTGCAAGGTTAGTATAAGTCATCAGTATTAACCTAGCAACTAAAAAAGCAAATATTATTTTAGGCTTCATTAATAGACAATGTCCAGAACAAGAGAGATGAAAGTCTTGCTGTACCTTGGACAGAGCACACCTAGAATATTGTGTCCAGTTCTGAGAGCCGATTTTGGGAGGGACATTGACAACCTGGGGGGCAGACTTAAGAACAGTGAGTTATGGAGAAGGAAGATTTTTGGCTAGATATGAGACTTTGTAATAATCAGAGTTGCCCCAAAGTGGGATGGATTGTCCCTCTCCCCAAATCCATTCTTCATATTCTTTTAATATAATTTTCCTATTGCCAGATGTCTTCAGCATCCCCTGTACTGGCACCTTTGATTTTCACAACAGCCATAGGAAAAGTGCTAAATTCTTATCATGTGCTAAAATCTTATCATTCAAAGTCCACAAAATGTCATCATACTCTTATTATGTTCCACAAACTGATATATTCACAAACCTTGGAACAGGCAGAGCTTATTCCTGCCTCTGCACCTTTGTCTATGCTCTTATCAACTCCTTTCTTTCTTTCTTTCCAAAGTCTCTCATTGGAGTCTTCCTTAATTATTCCAAGTTCTCTGTCTACTCTATCCTCCAGGAAAGATACAATGCTTTTATTTAATTTTAACCTTTGTCCACTAACAAAAATTTATTTTCTCTCTCTCCTACAAACCCCATTGGGAAAAGAAAAGAGAAACAAAAACCCTGTGATAAATACGCATAAATCAAAATAAATTCCCATATTGGCCATGTCCAAAAATGTACGTCTCATTCTGCACCTTGAGTCCATCAACCCTCTTTCAGTAAGTGGATAGCATGCTTCATAATCAGTCCTCTGGAATTGCGTCTAGTAATTTCATTGGAGACATAACTTTTTCCAGAATTCTTTTCCTGAGATACATAGGGATGAGCACAGCTGTAAGGTCCTATGATTTAGAACTAAAAGGGACCTTAGATATAATCAAGTCCTACTTCTTCATTCCTCCCTGTCCCCCAGAGGAAACCAAGGCCCAGAAAGGGAAAGGGACTTACCCAGGGTCAGTAAATAGCTGAGAGCAGGGCACTTTAACAGGACTGATTCCAAACCCAATCCTTTTTCCTCTGATGCCATGTGATAGTCTCTCCTAGGTCAGGTTGGGAGCTCCCAGAGGTCAGGATCTGGGAAAGGAAAAGCCGATAAGTTGGACAAGCCTCAAGGATCTCAACAAGCTAAGATGATCTGACTCTAAGATGCCACTTGATAGGGATGAATATGGAACTCCACACTTGTTCAAAGACCCAACTGTACAATTTTGTTTGAAGAGGTATGTTTGGACAGCAGTCCTATGGAAATGATCTGGGGGCGTTAGTGGATTACAACTTCAATATGAATCAAAAGTATGCTGAGGTAGTCTCCAAAAGTCTAGGGATTTTAGACTACATTCAGGAGGTAGGAATAGGATGCAGGGGAGCAGGAATGCAATGGCATCCATATGGGTCTTTGGCCTTGATTAGATCACATTTGGATTATCATGTTTGGTTATGGGTACTCCATTTAGAAGGGACACTTGTCCAGAGGAAGTGAGCCAATGGGAAATCACATCATAAAAAGGCTGTCAGAAGGAACTAGAGAAGTTTAGGCTGGAAAGGAAAGATTGGGCAGCCCAGGAGAAGCGCATGTCTTCAAGTATTTGAACATTTGTTATGTGAAAGAGGGGTTTCTACTCAAAGTATAGAAAGGGGTGGAAGAAGAAGAGAGACAGGTGTCTGCTCAAGGTAAGGAAAAACTTCCTGACAGAGCTATCCAGAATTGGCATGGGC